ATGGTCCTGGAGGTGGCTATCCTTTGATGTGCTACCTAACTGCCTTCAAGTCTCTGCTGTGTTCCATAAACTTCCCAAGCTATTTAGGTGAGCTGGAAAAGAAATAGGTCAGATAAGAAGATGTGTATTTATGCCATATAAGAATAAATATTCTTCTATTTTCCTCATGTGAAAAGCAAAGTTTCTGTTTACTGACATACTGACACATTTCTCCTGACAAAATACAGAAGAAGTATGGCAATAGATCCACTCTCAACATTATCTTGGAATCATTGCAACCTCATGCAGACACAGGAAATTACATTGTTCACTTTGCCATATATGGATCCAAGGAGATACTTGGTGCACATAATATGTTGGGTTTTTTTGGGGTTTTTTTCCTGCTCTGTTTTATAATCTGGATTCGGCTCACAAGAGAGATACTTGAGATAAATGGCAGGTGATGATTCTTGCTTCAATAAACCAAGATACATTAGAAAAAAATAGGGAGTGGAAATTAAATAATTAGCATATCTGGCAGTGGTTCTTGAAAGTACTTTTGACTTCTCCATGATGGTGACTTCGTGGGCCTAGGCTACAATAGATCAATATTTGATAATCAGGGTATATTTGCTCATTCAGTTTTAGATTTTTTTTCCTTCAAAAAGTATTTAAAAATGTGTTCGGTAACTTCATTTCAGCAGACACACACAAAGGATGGGCTTATTGGAAAAGGGGCGAAGGGAGGAAAATAAGGCCACTGATTTAAACACAGCCCTGTGCAGTGTAGCGTGGATAGGGCAGAGGAGCCACGTGTCATTACCTGGGAACTCTTGTTTTCCAGTTCATTTTTCAGCCAAGGGACAGGCAAACTGGGGTTCCCCACACAATGAACACCTTGGTGCCGAACGACTCAAAAGCACGGCCAGCTCATCCCAAACAACGGTCCTGACTCATCCATCGTTGTTTCTCTAGGTGACCCGCACACTCATCAAATTAGTTTGGCTGTCACTCTCTGCCCTGTGCCTCTTTACCAAGTGTCTTTAACTGGAAAGGACCATTTGTATCTTTAATTTCAAGTCTCACTCCAATGTGAAGACTTAGTGTAAATGTCACCTCTGTGAAGTCTTCCCTGGTGCCTGCAGGTAGCTTGCTTGTTTAGCTTGTTGCTTATTTCTCTGTCACACTCATTGTAAAGTATAAACCTGGGGTTAATCCCGGGATCTCTGGTGACTGAGTGTGTGGGTTCCAATCTGGCTTTGACATTAGAATTAGACATTTAAAATCTCTCTATGCCTCAATTTTCAAATCTGTAAAATGGGGCAAGTAATAGAACCTATCTTACAAAGTGGTTATGTGACTTAAATTTAAAAATACATGTAGTGTACTGGGTGGCACTGAGAATGCACCATATCATTAAATACTAACTTTACAGTAGATGGCAAGCCATCCAGGGTAAGGATTCACCTTTAAAACAGTTTTATTTTGAAAACCCCATTGCTTAGCATTGTGCTTAGTATCCATGAAATACTCAATAAATATTAGATGAAAAATTTCTCCCCAAATGCGTTTCAAGTACAGAAATAGCAACAAAAAATATAGCATTGACACACACTGTGAATATTCTTCTTTTTCGAATGCCTGAAATTTTGTCAAGATATTTTAAAACATTCTCATTTTATGTTAAAAATCACCATACACATCAGCACAAATGTAAAATTAATGTAAAAGTATCAAGTGAAAAGGAGATTTTGTATAATGGTAAAAAGAGACCCTCTATTGTTTGGAAACAACCCATGAACACAATGTACATATGGCTGCTTAAAGGGCAATCTCTAAAAGTAGGTCCTCATTGGACTGACATATCAAAACAAATTTACCCAGAGTGCTTTGTAGTTCCTCTTGACTAGGACTTGGTGAAATCATAGGAACGAAAGGGCTGCCTCGGGTCTCTAAAGGAGCTGCAAAAGACAACCGTGGCGGTCAATCTCTAGATTCAAAAGCCAGCACCAGGCCAGAATGATATTCCTTCATTTAAAAGAGAAAAAGGAAAACATGAAGTGAGTCATGGAGAAGAAAGTTACATGTACACAGACCTTTAGGAAAATGACTGGAATGTTAGAATAATGGTTCTCAACTGTTTAAATTTTTTCTCACCAGAATAGGTAGTAAATGACATTCAATGTTTGATGCACTCCATGACCATACCTTGGTAAGATGGGGAATGGGTTAGACATGGTCCTGGGTCTGTCATCTGTAGCTCTTCCACCAAAGAGAGCACATAGAATTAAAAATGAGTGAGGATAACATCATTGTAAGCAATCATCCGAAGTCTGCTCATTTATTTTTAAAAATAAATGATTGACAAATGTCAGTATTTTGACCAATATGAATGATAATCACTTGCCAGGACCTTTCCAAACTTGCTAGTGTGTTACAACACTATAGCTGAGAACCACTAAACCAGCAGGAAATGTTAACCAGATGGGTATGAGTAAGGTGGAATCATTTGGAACACAGAAATAAATGAGGTAGGTGAGCATGGACTCAGTAATGAGCTGCCTTAGGTTGGTCTTCAGAGCAAAGCTTTTACAACAGTGAAACCATTACTTTTCTATTTTGGAAAGAGTAATAATAATGAGAACGAAATGATGAAATGGCTTGAAAAGCGATGATGTTTCAATATGATCATTTGAGAAAGACCTGCAATCCTGACGGTAGCAAAGAAAACAGAGTTGGTCAGTATGGAAAAACCATTACCTATTGTTGTCTGCGGTAGGTCAATTCTAAAGGTAACGGGCTGCAGAACTAGGCCAAAAGCAAAGCAAAGAAACATATTTATGAGAATTACTTCCTGGAGAAGTAAAAATAATTTCTGTGTTTCCACATGCATCCATTTGAACATTT